AACCCTGGCCCATACCTGACCAATTCAATATATCTGGCTCATACCTGACCAATTCAATATATCTGGCCCATACCTGACCAATTCAATATATCTGGCTCATACATGACCAATTCCAAAATCCTCACTCCTATACAATAAAAAAACTAACTAAAATGTCCGAATTAAACTCAAACAGTTTTGATCTGTCTTTAAAAGCCATAAAACAAATTTGAATAACGAACCTTCTGTACTTAAATATTCAAAACATGTGGCATAAACGAAAAATCTACTTTTAATGGATGAAAAAGGGGTTGAAAATGAAATCTCACAGGTCTATTAAACCTGAACCTTTTAAACATTACTGTACAAAACAAAGCTATACATAATACACTACACATTACACAATTATGTACAATTTACAATGTACATTGTTCACTGTGCACTTCAATTTAGTTTGTTTTATTAGTTAATTCAACTTTTTTTGTAATATAAAAATATCACGAGCTGCGCACACGCCGCACATATAATGTTTCATCGCCTGCTAACAGATCTGTTGCAGACTTGATGCAGATTTATTTTTTCAATCAACAATTTAAAGTTTAAAATAAATGAATCTGGACTTTTAAAAAATATTTTTATAATTTAGTAGATTCTGAGCCCGGAGTGCGGGATGTTGTTACATGTGGAGGATGCAGGCAAAAATTTTCTCTCTCCGATATGCCGAGGTATAAAAATGTTTAAAAAATGAAGAAGATATGATTATAATAATTATAACGACAAAAATAACAAATTAATAGTATTAATAATAATAATAATAATAATAATAATAATAATAATAATAATAATAATAATAATAATAATAATAATAATAATAATAATAACAATAATAATAATAATAATGACAATATGAAAATTGTAATTATATTCGTCTTACTATATATACATTTTTTTTAGTTTTCTGAACCACAAAATGATGGACTGTAAGAAGGAAAATGTATCCGAAGAAAAGGAAGTAGATATTGAGAAGAGGAATGAGGGAAGGGAGGAAGATGTCCCGGAAGTAGACCGGAAGGATGAGGATGAAAGTAAGGATGTTGGAAGTATGGGGTCTCCTCGTGTATCAGGGTCAGATCAAGCTGACCGAATATCAGTAGGATCTAACACGGTCAAATCAGGTATTAACATTATTTTGATCAAACATAACAATTCAGGAACGGATGATTCTTCTCATTAAAATTATAATTTTCTAGTTCTTCTACCTTTGCAACCTGATGTCGTAGACCTTTGATATTTTTTATTATAAACGCTTCTAGATTTAAAATTTGGTGTTGATGATGATTCGAACCTCATAAACTAAATAAACCAGGTGTCAGATACACATTTTTAAAATCAAAATTCGGTCGAGGTTCACCCTTTTCAGTTCTTAATATTTGTTTCTGTTATAAAGATTAAATAATTATAAGAATAAATATTTAAAGTTTGAAAACCCATCAGTTTAAGAAATTTGAAGAGTTTGAGATAAGTTATCATTTCATTTCTTTCGAATTTCATATCTAATTAATCTTTCATAAGAAATAAACTTACAAACTTAGAATATTATTTGTATTTTTAGAACCTATGTTGTACAACTGTGGGTACTGCAAAGATGTACATTACACTGCCTGGTCCCTTATTCAACATGTACAGAAAGTACATGGGATCAAATGCTACTCAGAACTATCCTCCAATCATTTATTTGATCAATCACTGCCAATCAAATCTGAAGATTTTCTAGACACAAAACCAAAACTTGATTCTTTGCCAGGTAGGATATGTTTGTAAATTCTACGCTTTGTTTAAGAATCGTCATAAAAAGAATGATTCACACTACTGGTCAAAACTAACGTCATCTGAATGTGCCGGGAAAGATAAGAAAAACTATGAAGAAAGCAAATATGCACATTTTAGTTTTTTAAGTTTCTTTTTTTTGGTTTAAATAAATCCGAGTTTCGAGATCTCTACAAAGATTAATTGATTTAAATCATGTAGAAAACATAATATAATATAAACATTTCCCTACAAAGTACTAAAGAAAGGTTTTTACCCGTGTATGTTTATTTTCTGATTCAGTTATATAAAATGTTTTATTCTTGTTACATTTCCTTCTCTTTTGTGATAAATGTTCTTCTCTTTTGTGTTACATGTTCTTATCTTTTGTGTTACATTTCTTATTCTTTTGTGTTACATTTTCTTCCCTTTTGTGTTACATTTTCTTCTCTTTTGTGTTACATTTTCTTCTCTTTTGTATTACATTTTCTTCTCTTTTGTGTTACTTACATTGTTCTTCTCTTTTGTGTTACATGTTCTTCTCTTTTGTGTTACATTTCTTATTCTTTTGTGTTACATTTCTTCCTTTTGTGTTACATTTTCGTGTTCTTGTTTCTCAACTTTTCTCTGAAATAATTTGGGGTTTAATCTATAATATTATATTGTTCCAGGATATCCTGGGTTAGGGTTGGCAGGACTAATGTCCGGAGCAGGACTGACATCAGGCTACCCTCCTCATCCTTCTCTTCTCAACAGCCTTGATCCATACTACAGTTTCCTCCAACTACACAGATCCCTTCCCAGTCCTGCTCTTTCCGTTCCATCCTCAACCCTCCACTCCTCCCTTCCCTACTCATCATCCATCCCTGATTCCTCCTCAAGTCGGAGAAGTCCTCTCCAAACTTCATCTCTCACTCTTAAACCAATCAGTTCTCTCTCTATCCCGGCCCAGAAATCGAGTTCTAGTCATAAGTCGAACTATCCCCGGGATTCCTCGTATCTCCATGAATTTGCGAGAAATTTAAACTCACACCCAACCCATCCATTTAGACTGGACAAGATGGATATGTATGCTGAGAGATTGAGACATCTATCGTATAGTCCTAAGGACGAAAGAACGCCAGGACGTCCTTCTCCTCCTTCTCCCATAAATCCTTCCATCTCACCCCTCTCCCTGCCCGCGGCTCTAACATCCTCCCCCTCCTATGCAAATGCAGACAGATCGCTTCCTGAAAAGGTTGGACTGATGAGTCTAAGAACCCAGGATTTGCATGATACCAAACTCAAATTTGACGACAACCAGGAGGCGGAAGATCTCACGATGCGTCGAGATCCACCCACGGACACTTCTAACACAGAACCTAAACCTACACCTGACTCCATACCTAGCCCAGGTTCTAAACTTAGCTCAGACTCCGGTCTGGAGGAGAGAGAGCCCAAGGATTCAAGTTCACTGGTCGGAGAACTTATCTCCAAGTTTGGGTTTAGTCAGATCCAGGAGTACCAGGAGGCCTACAGGAAAGCTCTTGTAGAGTCAGGAAGCTTGAAACGAAAGTTGGAAGACGAATTTTTCAGTCCAGAGAAGAAACTGTCCCCGATTAAGACGGAGAAAGATTTTCTTTATGCAGGAACATGGCTTCCGTCCTATAGTACAAGCCTACCGTCCTACACAGCGTCTATGACGTCCTATACTGGATCCAGTCCATTGTCCTCAATGAGAAACAATCTGACTTCTTTAAGGGATAACTTTATGAAGGACAAGATGATGAAAACAAACCGAAGATCTTCCTTAAAAGACATGAACCTGCCTCCTCTACCACCTGGAGTATCCCTTCCTCTCATTGAACCTAGTGCGGTCAGAGCACTGGCACAGAAGGGTCGTCTTGATGCTATATTTGACCCGAAGCTGCGCAAGGAGATCATAAGTAAGGGACGGAACGATACATGCGAGTACTGCGGAAAAGTATTTAAGAATTGTTCTAATCTGACAGTACACAGAAGATCCCACACTGGAGAGAAACCATATAAATGTGAACTATGTCCCTACAGCTGTGCACAAAGCAGTAAACTAACAAGACACATGAAAACCCATGGTCGGCAAGGGAAAGAAGCATTGAACTGCCGCCTGTGTGACATGCCGTTTAGTATTGCCAGCACCCTGGAGAAGCATATGCGTAAATGTACCGGAGTAAAGAAACTGAAGAGTAGATTAACCTGGTCCGCTTCTCTTCTTTCAAACACAGACGACATCTACATGAAGAAGGAGTCTCCACTATTCTCCAGTATGGTGGAAGCACAGAGAGAGGTTGGGCCAATATCTTAAAAGTCCAAATCTACAAGATTTATCGTCTCTAGGGCCAAGAATGCCACATATCTCCAATCTCCATGACGACCACAACCAATCTAGGCCTAATCTACAAGTTTCCTTATAGAATATCTGAGAGGAATCCATGTTTTCATCCCAAAATGTACCAGTGTTAAATCTTGTCCCCATAGAATTCTAATCTTATTTATTGCAAGGAATGTTAGTTAATTATACAGATAGATATTATTAACCTATAGATTGTACATATTATGATATATACCAATACAGGGGTACATATAGATTGTACATATTATGATATATACCAATACAGGGGTACAAAGTTTAACTCTATTTATATTTCTAGATCTAGATTTTATTAAAGTACAAACACAATTAAGTTTAAGTTTATAAAACTGCGTTTACCCCTGTTTCTTGGTCTGCTTTGGTTCTAGCTTTAAAGATCAATATTAGTAATTATGTTAGGTCGAGACCTCATTTGCAGACCGTTTCTAATTTACATGAACTCTTTTCTAATCGTTAATTCAGTCCTTACACTCATTTATTGTATATTGCATTTAGTCCATTCATTCCATTCATTTACTCATTCATCCTTTCATTCATCATCCATAATTTTTAGCCAAATTTTATATTATCAACCTTTAAATGTTTATTAACCAAGACGTCCATGCATTTAATGTAACAATATACAAAAATTATACTGTATTTATCTTTTCATACTCTAAGGTTTGTTAGTTGAAACTCTGTTATTGAACGTAAATGTACCCTCTATGTAAAATGGTTTCATGACCTAGTTGTTTATAATCCTGTGATGCGGCTGTGGGCCACCAAAGAGTTGAACATAAATAAATTTTTTAATTATTCTCTCGATATTTATTTGATTAAGGTCTGATGTATTAAAAATGTGTTGATAGAATAAATAAACAACCAGAAATTTATTAATTTTTCTTTAGACTATGAAGTTTTGGGAAAGGTTTAAAAGGAAAGAACTAAATGGTTAGAAATTGATAAAAAAAAAATAAAGAAAGAGATTGAATGAAGACGATAAAAGAGAAAGGATTGAGTAAGGTACAAAGAGATTCAAATATATTTAGGAAGAACAGAGGAATAATAATACGAATAACGAATGGATGAAAAGGGTGAATACATTATATGAAACAACATGGTTTAGGTTGGTTGAAGGCCCGGTGAATGATGGATAAATGATAAATAAGAAATGAATAAAGAACGGATGAAAGATGAATGACGGAGGAATAAAGGAGGAATAAGGATTAATTAAGGATGGATGGATGAAGGATGGATAGATAAAGAAAGAACGTATGAAGGATGGATGGGTAGATGAAGGGCGTATGAAGGATGGATGGATGAAGGACGTGTGAAGGATGGGTAGATGAAGGATGGATGAATGAAGGACGTATGAAGGATGGACGGGTAGATGAAGGGCGTATGAAGGATAGATGGATGAAGGACGTATTAAGGATGGATGGATGAAGGATGGATGGATGAAGGATGGATAGATAAAGAAAAAACGTATGAAGGATGGATGGATGAAGGACGTATGAAGGATGGATGGATGAAGTATGGATGTAGAGGAAACTAGAGTCCTAGAGTCATGTGACCCCCTGTCCCCTAATCTTGTGTGTAAAGATAGAAAGATAGATTGAAAGCTAGATGTATAGAGAGGAGTGTGTACGAGGATGAAGATTACAGGAAGGATGTTCTATATTATTGCATGAAGACCAGGACCTGGATACACCACCACCGTCAGGGGAATCAGACATAATGACCTCCTCCCCCCCCCCCTCCTATCTACCTCCTAACCCACCTTCATGACCCCTGGTCACCCTGTAGCTTCCAGATCCCCCTATTAAAGTCACTAGAGCCGACCCTGCCCATCAGAGGTTATATGGGTCGCAACCATTTTTTGTTGGATAGTTGGAATTTTTCAAAACTGGGCCTGCTTGTCAGCATTTGAAATGCGAGAAAACAAGTGTTTATATGATAATTGCTCACCAAAAATTTTTCTGCACTTTGAAAAAAAATTTACTTTAATATCTCTTTCTTATGTTAATTATCTACACTTTTTGATAGCATTTAATGAAATTTAAAAATTAAATTTTATTTTCAAATGTGAAAATGAAAAATAAAGAAGTGAACCTACCCTGGCGGGACATCTTGATTGATTTGCGTGGGATCCAAACCAAATATTAGTGGAACAATACCGCGGTAAATTCTTAATATTCAACCATCAGGTTCCAGGAGTACCAGGAGAACCAGGGCTACTCGGGGTCAAACGGTAGTAAATCACATTTTGTCAGATAAGCCAGCGATAAATGCGTTGTTTAATTCTTCACCAGTTTAAACAATGAGCATTGAACAGTCAGCTGTATAGTAACAAATAAGCACAAATTTTTTACAGGGTTTCTAAGATAAGCATTACATTTTTTCTTTTGAAAAACATTTAGAATTTGAATGTGTCCAGTGTTCACCTTTATAGACAAACATTTAAGATTTCAAGCTTTTTTTGGTGTGAACTAACCATTCAAAGAACTTTTTTTTGTATTTGATATTTTTCGATGTTTTTTTTCATGACAAAATTTGACAAAAAAAATTATAATGGGTCACTCAAAACTTCGTCCCCGGCTTTTACACTTTAAAAGTCATTTTTGAACTAAAGATAAATTTCAGCAAAAAAGATGTTTCTTCTTTTATACTGTTTTCAAACTCAAGATTAAGTCACCATTTGGAGCATTTCATGTATTTGCTTAGATTCTACTAATTGCATTCTCCACAACCATAACCTTAGATACAGAATTCACAGTTGTTCGAGCCAGGACGGAGAGGTTATGGAGATCTTGTTCGAGCCAGGACGGAGAGGTTATGGAGATCTTGTTCGAGCCATGACGGAGAGGTTTTGGAGATCTTGTTCGAGCCATGACGGAGAGGTTATGGAGATCTTGTTCGAGCCAGGACGGAGAGGTTAAGGAGATCTTGTTCTAGCCAGGACGGAGAGGTTAAGGAGATCTTCTTCTAGCCAGGACGGAGTGGTTAAGGAGATCTTGTTCGAGCCAGGACGGAGAGGTTAAGGAGATCTTCTTCTAGCCAGGACGGAGTGGTTAAGGAGATCTTGTTCGAGCCAGGACGGAGAGGTTAAGGAGATTTTGTTCAAGCCAGGCCGGAGAGGTTAAGGAGATCATGTATACCTTATATCCAAAGATTACTGAATAGTAATAGATAAACATGAATATATTTTTGCCAATATGACAAATTTAAAATGTACAATCTTATTTTATAATGTTTATTTTATATTTAATATTGTTTTATATTTATATTTATGTTAATCCTCGGATTTTATCATAATAAACTCTATTTTGTGAAGATTATATATTTACTGATATTCTTAGGATATAAATATATTACAAATTCTATAAATATGTTGAGAATTAAGCTTGAAGATCTTCTCTTCTTCCTGGTTCTAGGGTCCGACACAACTCATTTGCGGATTTCATAATCCTCTTTCGGGGATTTCATCCTCTACAATTTATTTATTTATATTGTTATATGTACATGCATTCTAGTTTATGGAAGGAGTCATAGCCTTAACGGGGCAAAAAAAAGATTTGCCGCAAACAATGATATATTGATTTTTTACTTCTTTCTCTTTCGTTAACTACCTCTGAATGTTAATTTTGATAAATCTATTTCGTCAATGTAAGTTAGATCTTGTTGATCTTCTTTATCGCCCCCTCTCTCTATATTCACTCTCGCCCTGTTTTCCATTACCTCCCACCCTTCAATCCTTTTTTACCTCTAACTCTCAATCCTTTATCCCTCCCCCTCGATCCTCTTTATCATCCCTCTCAATCCTCTATCTCATCCCCCTCTATCCTCCTTACCATCCACCTTGATCCTCTTTACCATCCCCCTCAATCCTCTATTCAATCCCCCTCTATCCTCCTTACCATCCCCATCAATCCTATATCCCATCCCCCTCTATCCTCCTTACCATCCCCCCTCCGCCCACCTCCAACTCCCTTTGACCCTCTTCAACATGCACACACATGCCTTTATTTTGTTGAGCTAACTAGAGTAAGTAAATATAAGCTGAATATAGGTTATCTCTGTATACCCCTATATATGTACAATACACATACTGCTCTCATTTCTCCATATATATATATATATATAGCACCATACAAGTAGGTCATTAAGGCATTAGTGCACATCAGTCAATAATAACGATATCAATATATTTATTTTTCAACTCATTTTTCACCATTCAAATTCTGATATGTATAAAAAGGGTGGTGGGGTGCTTAGTTTTGGTATTTGAATTCGTATTTAATTTTCTTGTCTTATGTCAGACTGCCTTAAAATGTATCCTTTTAACTTTTTTCTTTTCGTAAGTCATTCTTTTTGCAAAATTTCAATGTTGATGTTGTTTTATTAGTAACTGATTATCAAGTGAAATTGGTCTGTTCATACTGTACATTGTACACTGTATAATGTACACTTTACAATGTACACTGTACAATGTACACTGTGCAATGTACACTGTACAATGTACACTGAATACAGTTAATATAGAACAAAAAGTATATCTTAAAAGTTGTGACTACTAAATAGTTATGAACTCATTTATGTAAATTGTTTAAAGTTTTTCAAAAACACTGATGTCCCAAAAAACGAAATGAAATACATGTTTGTATAAACACACGTACACGCGGACTATACGGCTATATAAGATGAATTATATATAATATTTATTGGTCCATGGATGATTAAATTAAACCTTTAAAGATTGTCTTATTATTGTAACATTTTATCAATAAAATTAAATAATAAAGAATTTAGAATCTTGGCATGTTTATTTTATTACAGAACGTAAACTTCCCCTTTTCCAGCGAATGTAAGAGGTTGCGTGATTTTAAATATAATTTACCCATACAGCTGCTATGGGTATATTGGGTGAAGAGGGTTAGAGAAGATCACCGAAATTACAGAATACTCAAACAACTCTGCATTCAGTTTTTATATTGCTTCAATGTTTACTTACAGGGTGAGTAAAAAAAGTGTGATAAGTGGCGTTCGGTGGAAAATTGTACATTTGTATGCAACTCTCCTAGCTGTATGGTATTTTTCAATATTTTTTGGAATTTTGTTTTGGTAATCCAATGGTTAAACAAATCCGCAAAACTTTTTTCTCTCTTAAAATCAAAAGTTCAGAGAAGTAAAAAAGAGTATATATATATATTATTTCTATCAAATTCTAAAATTTAATAAATAATGAATCACAGAATCACAGAAAACTTGCAAAATTTTAACGAAAAAGTTTGCAATTTTCAGTTCTTATATAATTTTTAAGGAAAAGTTGTTTTTCAATTGCTCCTCATTTTTCAACTGAACAACGTGTATTTATAACTTTAGATTATACTAAGATAGAACATAAAGTCATTTTAATACATTATTATTGATAAATATGGACATTACTGTTTACCTCATTTTATGTCTACACAGTGCGCACATTGCTTCAACTTTCAGAATTTGTTTTTTTTAATTATTAAATAACGACGACATAAAATGTAAAAAGGTTCTACAATAAACTACATACGTCATGTATAGGAAAATGTTATGAAAATATAAATTAATCTTATTATCGAAAAAAAGTAATCTTGTTCAATTATTAGTTTTTATTTTCTCATTATTCACAAAAATTTTCTGCAGATTTTCTAGAATTTCTAAAAATTATTAAATATGACGACGACAAAAATTTAAACAAAAATTCTACTGTAAACTAATTAGTTGTGCAGGAACAGGTTGAGAAAATAAAATTTAACTCTTACAAGTTGAGAAAATAAAATTTAACTCATATATCATAAAAAATAAGTAATCTTATTCAATTATTAGTTAGTTTCTATAATCTCTCATTATTCACAAAGATTTTCTGCAGATTTTCTGGAATTTTTAATATTCAATTTTAGCATTGATTTATAGACTAATTTCTTTTGAGAAATATGTTCCTAACCATTAATTAGATTACTGTATAATTTTTACTTTATTTTTCGTTGTCGTTATTTAGTAATTAAAAAAAACTAATTCTGAAAACGTATTCACCCCCAAAGTAGGAATTTTGAATGTCGAATTTGCGCTCAAACTCAGGATTTACAGATCTTCAAAAAGTTTAATATTTCTCAAATGAATCCGAAAGTTTTCCACAACACTGCATACTCAGTTCAACTACCTTACATAGCCGATCACTCCCTTAAACTTTTTTGCTTTGGTACTTTAATATGTTTTTAGGAAAGTTTTTTAGAAATAGTTCAACTGCTAAAATTATAACATTCTTAGCTACATTTCATAATCAAAAGAAGAAAAAAATAATTCGAAACTACTATTTTCTTATTACCAACAGTCAAACCTTATAATACATTTAAAGAACTTATGAAATGTCGTCTTTACAATTTTTCAATGGGTTTTATACTATTTTACGTAAATCTCAGTATTTTCAAAAATATAGACAGCCATGACTATGCGGGAACAGTTTGATAGAGCTCCATATGATCATTTAATTGAAAAACTAAATATCTGCAACATTTCATTATCAGAAAGTGAAGAATACGACATTTGATAAATTCTTTTGATGTATTTAATATTTAGGGTTTAGCTGTATATAATTCGATTTTATTATTTTGTATCCTCTAAATATCCCTACTGTATCGTGTGCCCTCGGTAAACAATATACATGCTCCCGAGCGCGGGCGGAATAGGATCGCGTGTGCATGTATTCAAAAAGATGTTACATATATTGGAAGACATGATAGTATATAGGGAATGTATGTATGGGGGCTTACATATATTGAAAGACATAATAGTGTATAAGGGTGTAAATATATTGGAAGACATGATAGTGTATAGGGAATATATGTATGGGGGGTGTACATATATTGTAAGACATGATAGTGTATAGGGAATATATGTATGGGGGTGTACATATTTTGGAAGACATGATAGTATATAGGGAATGTATGTAAGGGGGCTTACATATATTGAAAGACATAATAGTGTATAAGGAATATATGTATGGGGGTGTAAATATATTGGAAGACATGATAGTGTATACGGAATATATGTATGGGGGGTGTACATATATTGGAAGACATGATAGTGTATGGGGAATATATGTATGGGGGTGTACATATTTTGGAAGACATAGTAGTGTATAGGGAATATATGTATCGGGGGTGTATATTGGAAGACATGATAGTGTATAGGGAATGTATGTATTGGGGGTGTACATATATTGGAAGACATGATAGTGTATAAGGACTATATGTATGGGGGCTTACATATATTGGAAGACATGATAGTGTATAAGGACTATATGTATGGGGGGTTACATATATTGGAAGACATGATAGTGTATAGGGAATGACCTCTTGTGTCATTGAATGAGACCACTACTAAGATTGATGTATAGCACACGCTGGGACATCTCTCTCTCTTCCTCTCTTACACATACACACACCCACACACTCACTCATGCAAACAAACAATTGTCCCCCCCCCCTCTTGACACTGCCTAAAAATAGCTCAATATTTGAGGCATGCTTCAGATTCTGCTTGAATTTTAATTTTTTTATTGAAGTTCTAACTGTAGCAGTTCAGAATCTATTTAACTATTCTATCCAGTTAGCTTACCTATCTATCTATCTATCCATCTTTCTTTCTATCTATCTATCTATCTATCTATCTTTATACCTATTTATCTATTCGTAAATCTGCATCTGTTTCTTCTTTTTTTTAGTTAAAAAAAAAGAAATTAAAAAAAACATCATTCTACTTGCAAAATAACTTCAAATCATATTATAATTTACTAAATAGTCATGAAAATCTTTCTTTTTATACAACAATTTTGAAGAGTACTGCATATATATAAAATCATTTTCCTTTTTCACTAGGAATTATTTTTTTAAAGTTCTAAAAATGGTTGTAGAATTCAATTAAAAGGCGAATTTCCTAAAGTAGTAAAGCAGAAGTAAATTTTTATAGATTTTAAAAATGTTTATATATTTATAAAAATAAAAACGCATTTCATAAAGTACAGTAATTGCTAAAACACCTCTATTTTTATTCTAAACCGAAAGAGGAGAGGTTAATAAAGGCTTAGAACGTGTTTATTGTTTGAAATGATACTCACTTTGCATGCGACATTTCTTTTAGAACCGATACGTTAGTTAAAAGCAGATCGAGTAAAATATGCTAAAAAAAAACAAGAACAGAGCAGAATACAAATACGATACGACGATTGTACAGTTAATAAAGCTTTTTTCTAATTTCTTCCAAGACGTTCCTATTATAAGACATCACCAGAGGCCGTTTATATTCATAGAAATGATATCTGAAGTGTAAACCGTTCTGATAAAATAATGTAAAGTTGATTGTGTTGTAAATAAAATAGTTTGACAATCAACTTAGTAAGTGAGTGTGAGGTCTGTGAGGTCTGCACAATTGCTGTATTTCATATTCATGTATTTCAAATCAAAACTTGAGTCTACAGTACAGGGTTACCCACAAAGGATGAGACTTTAATGAGGATTGTAAACTCTTTAAACCTAGCGATCTGAGTGTTATACTTGGGTTTTTGAGTAACCCTGTGTCTAGAACATTCAAGTTAGAAGGTTACATATCTAGCTTGTTGGTTAATTTTTTACCTGCTCAGTTCCTATTTATTTAGTTAGTTACCCTAATTTTAGTTAGTTATCTATCTAGTTAGTTAGTTATCTATCCTGTTAGTTAGTTACCTATCTAGATAAGTATTTGATGATATTTATCATATACTCAGTATGATATGGAGAATGACAATATATCAGCTTTAGGCCTAGATATACATACCTGCTGAGTACGCTAACTCTACTCATCTATCAATTCATTCATCCATCCATCTATCCATCCTTGAATTCTTCAATCCTTCAATCCTTCAAATCCATCTATTCTTCCTTCCATCCCTCCTTCTATCCATTCTTCTCCCTTCTCTACTTTCTTTCGCCTTTCTTCTTCCTTTCTTACTGTCTGCCTGTCTTCCCTTCTTTCTTCCTTTTCTAACTTTATCAATCCAGTATGGACCTCCTTGTCAGCTATTCAGTGGGCCTTCCAGACTTATTACTTTTATATGTTGAACCAAAATAAAAGTATAATATATATAATAGCAATTAAATGATGTTATATATGTTATCGTAAAAATTTTTATACTTATGCTTCTTCAGAAATATATAATTTGAATTGAATTGAATTGAATACTATAAAAAGGAATAGTTTTGACTTAAAGATAATAATTATGAAATTTTTATAATGATATTCTTACATTTTTTAATAGCACGTTGAAAGAAAAATATCTTTATTCAAAACTATTTTTTCTTGTAGAACTAAATTTGATTATCAAACATCTTATTTAGTTTACAATTTTGGTGAACTAATTAATTTAGCATAATTTTTAACCAACCAAAGGAACTGAGTCTTAGCTTTAAACACTGATTTTATAATCCCTATATCTTTGCAACTCTTTGTAGTAGACCTTATAGATTATTCAAACTATTAGATCAATTCTATTATATCAAATAATCGAAGTAAAATATCAAAGGTTTACACCACCAGACTGCAAAATATAGGGATTATAAATTTGAGTTTGTTGCAAGGACTCAATTCCTTTGGAAAAAATACAATGTGTAACTGAAAATAGGTGAACATTCTCTTTAAAATGAACTCCTGCTGTGTAATGTGATAGGTTGACCGTAATTTCAATCTCTTCATGCATCTCAAACAACCATTGGAATATGTAATAAAATTTAACTAGAATATATAATACACGTACACATCTCAAACAGTTTCTAAAGGGTTAATTTTGATTGGATAACACTAAATTCAGAAATCAAATTCCGTCTCTATTCGATTTGAAGTATTTATTTCATCATTATCATCATGATAAATATAACCATCATCATCTACAACTATATTTTCCATCCTGGAAGTAACGATCCTCAGCTAAAACAGAAATATATGTTAATATTGGACTGTTAATGGGACTGTAAACATATAACTCAAAGATCTTATGATGACATAAATCAAGAACCTTTAATGATTTAATGATCTTAAACTTTATTATTAAAGGACTGACAACATTACTGAATGAACTAAAACTATATCATTAAAGGAATGACAACATTACTCAATGATCTTAAACTATATTATTAAAGGAATGACAACATTACTCAATGATCTTAAACTTTATTATTAAAGGAGTAACAACATTTACTCAATGATCTAAAACTATATTATTAAAGGAATGAAAACATAACTCAATGATCTTAAATTTTATTATTAAAGGAGTAACAACATTTACTCAATGATCTAAAACTATATTATTAAAGGAATGACAACATAACTCAATGATCTTAAACTATATTATTAAAAAAGTAACAACATTTACTCAATGATCTAAAACTATATTATTAAAGGAATGACAACATTACTCAATGATCTTAAACTATATTATTAAAGGAGTAACAACATTTACTCAATGATCTAAAACTATATTATTAAAGGACCAGCAACATAACTCAAGGATCTTAAACTATCTTATTAAAGGGCTGACAACATAATTCATGGATCATAAAACACCTTATTAGAGAACTGACAAAATAACTCAAAGACTTTAAATCATTTTTTAAATATTGACAACATAACTCAAAAATCTAAAACTATTTTACTATAGGGCCAGCAACATATCTCAATGATCTTAAATTATATTATTAAAGGAGTGTCATCTTAAAACATCTTATTAATTGAACTGCCATACTACCTAAATTATCTTCAATATCTAATGTAAGGTATTGTAAAAATGATACAATTAAAGATCTTTGTTCCGAAACCATCTTATATTTGATGGCTTACAACCTAATTTAAATGCTAAATGAAAAATTATGGTTTAATTTCCTCTCTTCATTTGAGAAAGGAATTGAGTCTTTGCCACAAACTCTGATTTTCTAAATCTTACAGTTTTGCAACCCAATATCGTAGATCTTAGATTTTTAAATGATGAGTTTTGTTAGATCAAATAATGTAAGATTGAAATGTCAAAGGATTAGAAAATTTGAGTTTGTGGTAAAGACTTAATCATTTTAGAACAAAAACGACTTTCACAGAAACTGATTAATTGCCTAAATCATATTTTTTTCTAATTCTATATCTTTTTAAATATCAAAGGTTTACACAATCAAGTTGCAAAGATATAGGGTTTTGAAAATAAGTGGTTGAAGCAAGTAATCAGTCCCTTTCTATCCAACAATAACCTTCTTTAAATGTTGTCTCGTAAACCTTAGGCCAAAGATTAATAAGGTTCCTAACAGCTGATTGCAAAGCAGATTCTATCCATCCTGTAAACTCCTGGAAACAAAATTTCAAAAGATTTGCTGACATCGACGATTTTATCCGAAACTGGACATAACGGCACCAATATTTTCGAGATTTGAATGATTGTTTACGTAATTAGTGTACGTAATTAGTGTACGTAATTAGTGTACGTTATTATTGTACGTAGTTAGTTTACGTAGTTAGTGTACGTTATTAGTGTACGTAATTAAGGTACGTAATTAGTGTACGTTATTAGTGTACGTAATTAGTGTACGTAATTAGTGTACGTAATTAGTGTACGTAATTATTGTACGTAATTAGCGTACGTAGTTAGTGTACGTAATTAGTGTACGTAATTAGTTACGTAATTAGTGTACGTAATTAGTGTACGTAATTAGTGTACGTAATTAGTGTACGTAATGAGTGTACGTAATTAGTGTACGTAATTGAAGTTTGAACTAAATCAATTCAAGCTAAAATTATCTTTTTTTGGAATTGCCTTTTTTCTAATCAAATTAAAAAAACAAAACGATCCAGTTTTTACTAGTGGTGTTTACAGTTTATGACTTAAAAAACGTAATTTAAGGCAAAAGACTTGATTCAACCTTAAGGCTGTCCTATTATATGACTAACAGGCCATCTTTACAGTCTCATGTTTTGTGGACAACCCTGTCCTAAACTAAACTGATTCTTATTTTCTAAAATTCCGAATTAGATTTAATCCACAAACGAACACAGCTTGTTTAATTTTATTGCTTGATATTTTATTGGATTTCAATGACTTAAATTGTTGAAATCAATTATTACTTAAATGTTAAATGAACATTCAAGAACTGTGAATTAAACTTTTCAGAAAATTGTTTCTACCTTTCTAATCTGTTCTTTGGGGAAAATATTTTTGACAAAACAAGTCGACATATTTATACCAATCCTTAAATTAAAATTTAACCAAGGAGGAAAAATAAACAATAAGTAATGAATTGAAATAAAATATTTAATGTAAAAATTTATAATGTAAATTATGATAACGCATTTTCCAAGAGGACATAATTGAAAGTTTTATGAAAAAGTATTTAAGCTATTTTTAAGCTATTACGGTTATGTGATTTCCTAATTACACCCCAGACTTTCTGGGCCCCACCTGAGTTCACTTCCCAATTTCTTTAAAGGGAATATTAACAATTTTTACCTTGCACGTGTATTCTCCAACAAACCGAACTCTAATATAGAACAATCAATCAATACACAATCAAGTTAGACAGAAATATTTTTAAATTATATTTTATTAAGTAATTTTTTTAATAAAAAATATATGTTCTGTAGATACTTCTATAATTACAAAATCTACAATTGGCTTGTTTGTTGGACATTAGGTTGTTCAAATCCATTAATGATAAAACCCCTGGAAAACCGTTTGCCCATTCAGGTCAAAGGAATTGAGTCTTTGCCACAAACTCTGGTTTTTAAATCCCTATATCTTAACAACCCAATGTTGTAGGCCTTAGTTATTTCAAACTATGACTTCTGTCATATCAAACAATTAAAGTTTGAAATATCTAAGGTTTACATAATTTGGCTGTAGATATATAGGTATTGGAAAATTGGGATTTGTTGCAAAGACTCAATTCCTTTACAACACAATTATCAAATTCAAAATATCATTTGGAAAAATAAGATTTAAGAAAACAAATTATTCAAGCGCTAATGCGATCCTTAATCATCATTTAAATTTCATTCAACCTTTCGATCACTTAAAATGGATGCCGCGAGGATTTTTTCTAAAAATTATTAGATTTTGGTATAAAATCTACGATTAATTTTTTCTAATATCTCAGTTTCTCGTTATAATATATTTTTTTCACGCCATTCGTCCAGTTGATTTATAGTCTTTGATTTATGCATATTTTATTTTTCCTTATTGTTTTAATTTTGAAACTTACTATGTAATGATATTTCTGTAGAGGTTCATTGTATACAAAGCCTCCATGTGCAAACTTATTGTTATACCACTTGTACGACTAATCGCATAGTGATAAAATTTTAACTGTTTAGCTTTAGATAAAAACTTATCGTTATACCACTTGTACGACTAATCGGATAGTGATAAAATTTTAACTGTTTAGCTTTAGATAAAAACTTTTTTTAATTTTAATAAATTTAAAATAAGAAAATAAGAAATACAGTTAAAATCCTTCCCAGTCCTTCCACAAAATTATCTCTGGCAATCTTTCCATGGATTTTCTCAATCTCCTCCAAAGCCTATATTTTAAGATTTAATGAAATGATATATTTAAAATTAAACTATGCTGGTAGAACCTTTTTCAAACATTTCTCAGCAAACCCCAAAAGTGCAATGGAAAACCCGTTTTATTTGGCTAACAAACTTTTAGCTAAGACTATCAAAGTGATAAAATATAAACATTAGATAGAGATAGTACTTTCATTGATTTTCATTCTAAAAGAATGTGCTTTATTTTTTATTACTCCCGCACACACTCTTTTAGCATATTTTGTACTTTCAAATAATTAAAATGAATTTACTTACGTATTCCACAATTTCTGTATCATTAAATGAAGCAAAGAAATCTGATTGAAATTCCCAAGTGTAAGAGGCAATTAAACTGTTCCCGTGGAAAGCGTGGGAGGGGTAGTAAACCTAAAACAAATTTTAAGATTTTAAAAATGCATTCTATCTAAAATGCGACAGTCAAAGCTGCTGAAAATGTCAACTCTGAATGGTGAATACCACTTTTGTGTATAAAAATATATATACTAGGCTTTTAGAGCGCTTCGCGCCCATCTTCTATTTGAAATAAAAATGTTGTGCATTTTCAAAATTTTCAAATATTTTATTTTGTTAGAGGCAAATTTTTGAAAATTCGATCATTCATAAACCTTTTCTGGGGTCACGCGAGGTCCCACAAAAAAATTGGGCCCGATCGGTTCAGTCGCTTTGACGTTTATTTTATACCCAGACAAGCAAAGTATGTATATAGATACTAGGCTTTTAGGGTGCTACGCGCCCATCTTTTCTTTCAATTGTAAACATATTCTCTTTGTGTATCATTGTAAAACAAAACAAACAAAAAAGTTCGCGGTTTTCATAAAAAATTTCGTGGATTTTAAAAATGTTCAAAAATTTAATGATAATCTAATTTTATTAGAGGCAAACCTTTAAGCCTTCCCAAGGGCCATGTGAGGTCCCACAGAAAAATTTGGGCCCAATCGGTTCAGCCTTTTTGACGTTTATTGGATACAAACAAACACCCAGACACCCAAAGTATTTATATAGATATATTTTTGGTTTTTCTGTTTGTGTCCATAAACGTCAAAATGGAAAACTTCCAAAAAATTTAGATTTATTTCTTTATAGAAATCTGCGAAATAATTTTCAAAGCTTTTCGAAATTTTACTCAAGCTTGGATCCAAATACCCCTTTTCTTCATAGAAAGGAAGTGAGTCTTTGCCGTTAACTGTGATTTTCAAATCCCTATATCTTTGCTACACATTGTCGCAGACTTTAGATATTTTAAACTATAAATTCTTTTTGATCATATAACCTCACCATTCACACCATTAGATTGCAAAGATTTAGGAATTTTAAAATTTTAGATTGAGGCAAATATTTAATTATTTAATTACTAAATATCAATAGTTACCACAGATAATGGTGTGTCCAGTGTTCCACTGCCTCCAGATTTTCGAATATTTGGATGCTTTCCAAATGGAATTGGAGGAATCTTGTTTCCTTCCTTTTGGCTCCAAAATGGAGTTTTAAACACCAAGAAAATCTAAGATATAAAAGAACTAAATAAAATTTTTTACAAGATTGTGATGTTAAGGTTAGTGTCGGGCATTCTATCTAATAATGTTTTTGTTGGATTTAAGGTTTTTATCAAAAAATATCCTCAAAATCAGCCAGAGGTAGGATTTAATGAAATCGAGAAGAGGTTGATCTAGATCGAGGTAAGGCTTGTTAAACACCTTATCTGATGATATCATGATTTAAAAGACAGAAGGAGTTTAACTTTCCTTACCCTATATGCATTAATCCAACCTCAGTAATATTTAAGCCATTAATTGTAATTGTAATTGAGTATCAACTCTGGATGTCTTTAACAGGCATTTTCTTCAATTTTAGAAGAAATTTCTGATTGTTACTTAGTGAAATAGATATTAACAAGTTGAATTCTCTTGACTTGAGATCTATTATGTTTCATTTCAAACCATGTGTCATTTAATGTTCAGAATGATCTATAAACACATCAAAAGCTAAACAAATACTTTAAAAGTTTTATTATGAAACTATTTTACTTTAGTGGCTCCTCCATAGTGCAGGGTTTCCAAAGCATTCCTCTTGGAATAATCTAATGGTGGAGTAAACTCCATTAAACCAACGGCAGGAGCAGTTGTTGCCATAACAGCATAGTCTCCCACTGCAAACTTTTCCTATAATATCAGTAAAATATGAAAAAAGGAAAGGGGGGGGGGTTGAGAATTATTACCGTGCCATCCTCAGATTTATATCCGACTTTAACTGATGCATCTCTAAATAGTTAAAGAGTGAGTCTCCTTGACACGGCAAAATAAGGAAATTTTCGAAAAGGCCAAAATACTAAATTCTGTTTTATGTTGTAAAATATTTAACTAAATTCTGTTTTATGTTGTAAAATATTTAACTAAATTCTGTTTGTAAAATACTTAACTAAATTCTGTTTTATGTTGTAAAACTAAATTCTGTTTTATGTTGTAAAATATTTAACTAAATTCTGTTTTATGTTGTAAAATATTTAAATAAATTCTGTTTTATGTTGTGAAATATTTAACTAAATTCTATTTTATGTTGTAAAATATTTAACTAAGTTTTGTTTTATGTTGTAAAATATTTAACTAAGTTTTGTTTTATGTTGTAAAATATTAAACTAAATTCTGTTTTATGTTGTGAAATATTTAACTAAATTCTGTTTGTAAAATACTTAACTAAATTCTGTTTTATGTTGTAAAATATTTAACTAAATTCTGTTATATGTTGTAAAATATTTAACTAAATTCTGTTTTATGTTGTAGAATATTTAAATAAATTCTGTTTTATGTTGTGAAATATTTAACTAAATTCTGTTTTATGTTGTAAAATATTTAAATAAATTCTGTTTTATGTTGTAAAATATTTAACTAAATTCTGTTTTATATTGTGAAATATTTAACTAAATTTAAGCCGCGTATAAATCCCCCCAAAACCGGTTTCAATTGAGCGCCGGCTTAAATCTTCAAAAATTGAATACAATTTTAAGTGATACAAAATATATTTAAGCCGCGGCTTAAATTTAAGTTGCGGCTCAAATTCTTGAAATTCGGCCTCAGGTCATTTTAACATTTTTGTTGATTGGTCTGCAATGCATATAAAAGAGAACATGTTTTAAAACTCAAACCCAACAATATCAGGTTGCCAATACAAGGATTAGAAAATTAGAGTTTGAGAAAAATGAAAAAAATAATAAATAGGGGGGAACAAGTTGAATCGCGTAGACGTAGTCGAACTACTTCTCTTTTTCACTGGGTCTTATTAGTTTAACTAATTCGTGCATTCCTAAGGGAGTGACCGGCAATGTAGGGTTGTTGAACTGAGATTGCAGTATTGTCGAGAAATTTTTTTGGATTAATTTGAGACATATAAAAAGCGATTTAAAGGTCTATAATTACTAAATTTGAGCACAAAGTCAACGTTCAAAAACGTCAATTTGAGTGGGTACTTTTTGAGAATCGGCTTTTTAAAAATTATTCAATATGACGGCGACAAAAATTGAAACAAAAATTCTTCTGTAAACTAATTAGTTGTTTAGGAACAGGTTGAGAAAATAAAATTTAGCTCTTACAAGTTGAGAAAATAAAACTTAATCTTATATCATAGATTATAAGTAATCTTATTAAATTATTAGTTTCTATAATCTCTCATTATTCACAAAGATTTTCTGCAGATTTTCTAGAATTTTTATTAAAAAGAGGACATTTGAAGAATTTGTAGAAATCCGCGAACAAACTCATGTAAAATAAGAAATTCAATATAATGATGAAAACGAAATAATTGATTCTAGCATTGATTTATTCACAAAGGAATTGAGTCTTTGCCACAAACTCTGATTTTCTAATCACTATATCTTTGGAACCAAATGTTGCATACCTTAGATATTTCAAACTATGAATTCTGTTAGATCAAGTAATCTGAGTTTGAAATATCAAAGGTTTACAACATCGAGTTCAAAAGATATTGTGGTTTAAATATTTGATTTCGTTCCAAAGACTCAATTCCTTTCTTTTGAGAAATATGTTCCTAAACATCTTAAAGTTTACTGAATAATTTTTACTATATTTTTTGTCGTCGTAACTTAATAATTTTAAAAAACCGATTCTCAAAAAGTAACCACCCAAATTGATAATTTTGAACGTCGACTTTGCGCTCAAACTCAGTAATTATAGATCTTTAAAACGTTTTATATTTCTCAAATTAATCCTAAAAGAATTTGTCTACAATACTGCAATTTCAGTTCAACCACCATACATTGCCGGTCACTAACTTTACACCTCGTTCAAGTTTCTTTTCATAAAGAAACAAAACAAATGTTCAAGTTTTAAATTTGAATCCATATTTTTGTTATTAATAATGTAACCTACCCGTATCCTCTCATTTCTCTGACGGTTTTCACTTTCGCATTCATTATCAGAGTAAAATCAGGATTATTTACAATCTTTTTCATTATCTGGTCAACAATAACTAAACATATTACATTTTTAAATTCAAAATTTTAAAAATGTCATAGATATCGTTTCTCTTTCTCTTTACGGTAGGTTTTTAAGAGAACCCTAACAAGAAAGCCGCGAAGGCACATAGATTCAGATTGCTTATTGAAGCACATAGATTCAGATTGCTTATTGAAGGCACATAGATTCAGATTGCTTATTGAAAGCACATAGATTCAGATTGCTTATTGAAAGCAATTTTTCAGACAGGGTCGACTTTGAAGTGTCGCAACGCTTTGGGCTTTGATTTTACCGTTTAAATTCACGAATGCTTTTCTGTACCCCTTTAGATATATTATAAAGTTTTTCTTCTTAATCAGGTTTATAAACTTATCTCTATAAAACTAAGACTTTTCTAAGGTAGTATTTAAAATTAAACAATTACAACCAGATATAAGAAGATACAGCAGATACAGGCTTTTGTTGTGTAAAATTTTTCATTTGCACAAACCGACACCATAAAAAGTATGTACATTTTAGCCACTTTAAAGCACTTGTTTTTAGCTTTGGTTTTTAAGGTTATTCTCATCAATATATGCAGTACTCTTTTAATGAAGGAATTTTAAGAATTAATTTAGGTGTATTTTATGTTAATTTTGAGTAATGCCAAACTTACGGGAAAAAACTTTGTTAAAAAACTTTAAAAATGAAATTTAAAAATAACTGATGACTGATGCAACCTGATGACGTAGGCCTTAGATATTTTAAATCTTGAAGTCTGAATTATCAAAGGTTTACACCATCAGATTGCAAAAATATTAGAAAACAGAAAATTAAAGTTTGATGCAAGTGATGAGTGAATCGGTATTGACCTGCTGAGCCGTTAACAACCTCGGACCAATCATTCGGAGATTTAGTTAGATTTATTAAATATGATAAATCTGAATCTGTTATCATTTCATCCACAGATAGCCTGCAAATATGGGAAATTTTCAATAATTTAGTTTAGGGTTTAAAAATGAAGTTTTCATCGACCTAATAATTTTTTTTAAAACGTTGAATTTTCCGCTCGATCCCATATGTATTTTTTATTTTATTAAAAGATGCTAAAAAGCTTTGGAATTTCTGATATTTTATTTTATTTAAAATACTTGCCCGACAAAAGTACGAATATGTTTTAAGATCGCTATAAGGGAACCAATTTCCTAAAACAAAATTAACTTTATACAAAAATAAATTTTATTTTATGTACTTCATTATTTCCAAATTATCAATTCTTCAACTTTACTGATACAATATACTGCTACTTTATACTGCCAGTTTCTATTTTATACTGCTACCATATACTGCCAGTTTCTTCTTTATACTGCTACTATATACTGCCAGTTGCTACTTTATACTGCTACTATATACTGCCAGTTTCTACTTTATACTGCTACTATATACTGCCAGTTTCTACTTTATACTGCTACTATATACTGCCAGTTTCTACTTTATACTGCTACTATATACTACCAGTTGCTACTTTATACTGGTACTATATACTGCCAGTTGCTACTTTATACTGGTACTATATACTGCCAGTTTCTACTTTATACTGCTACTTCATTAATTAACTTTGTTCTAAGGGAACAAGATAAATACTTCTCTGTCACGTACTTTTTAACCTTATCATGATGGGGGGGGGGATCAATGTTAGACAAAATTTCCAATTCAGGATAGGGTTAAGCATTTACCTCTGGATATCCCATCTCTAGTAGTTTGATTCTGAAAAAAAAAGATCAAAATCTAAAAAAGTTTCTCAATATAAAAAAGAATCTACTTAAAAAAGTTGCCCACTGTTTTGTCTTCACCGCACAGTTTTTCATCTTCTGATTTATCCAATATTTGTGATCCAATAGTGTCAGGGGATAGGAGTTTACCAGATTTATCTTTATTTAACAATATTATTATTATTTAGTATAAACTTCTTTAAAAACAACAATTGAAATTAATTGATTTTCAGATAAAAAGATATTTTTATCACATGTTCTCAGACAAAGGTTTTAAAGGGTACCGTTGTAAATTTGTAAACAGTTTAATAACGTCGTAACTCCACACCTACAGTCCCTTTAGAATGATGCGTGCAAACAACGACGACTTTGAAATCCAAAATTTTAATGACATTTCAAAAAAATATAGAAATATATAGTATACACTATACACTTTAGTTTCAATATATATTGTTTTCGGAAAAATTTTAAGTCAAGGTTTTAGAAATGTATTTAGAAATGTATTTAGGAATGTATTTAGAAATGTATTTAGAAATGTATTAAGAATGTATTTAGAAATGTTGTTAGAAATGTATTTAGAAATGTATTTAGAAATGTTGTTAGAAATGTATTTAGAAATGTATTTAGAAATGTATTTAGAAATGTATTTAGAAATGTATTTAGAAATGTATTTAGACATGTATTTAGAAATATTAATTTTCATGAGAAATCTTAATTGTATTGTTCCTTTTGGCATATTTTCTCTTTCTATTCCAAAAAGTGAGTAAAGTTCTGCTATATGGGTCTGGTTTGTGTTATTCCCAACTATTAAAAAGTAGAAAACATTAATTTTTATAAGTTTTAATCTTTTTTTGATGTTTTTTACCGAAACTCTCTTTTGGATAATATTTGTTATTGATCCAAAAATAACTGCCCTGGTCCCCTTCATTCTAAAAATATCAATTATTTCTTTAGACTTTTTTAGAAATTTAGGAAAAACTTTCCATCAAAATCTCAAAAAAAATCCTATCTTAAGCATTAAATATTAAATATTTAGTAATTGACTAAACTCGTCTAGTTGAAATGTATATTACCGTATTAGTAAATAATGCTGTAGGGACATCAAACAATTCAAAAGTCTAAAATTATATAAGTTAGAAACTCAAAGCCAAACAAAAATGCCAAAGCAGAAAACTAAAAAGAAGTGAACTTCTTATTTTTCTCCAAGAAACCTATTTTATTTTTCATCTACCTTCTGAGCCATGAGATGGAAAGGAGGGAAGCGCATACAGCCTGTAACAATTCACAATCGGAACTTTCCTCAAAGGAATTGAGTCTTTGCCACAAACTCAAGGTTTCTAATCCTTATATCTTTGGAACCTGATGGTGTAAAGTTTTAATATTTTAAACTTAGATTATTTGATCTAACAGATTTTATAGTTTGAAATATCTAAGGCTTGCAACATGAGGTTGCAAAGATATATAAATTAGAAAATCAGAGTTTTTTGGGAAAACTCTGAAAAACTCTATTCCTTTCAGGATCGTTTCACGTGCAAGTTTTACTCTGCAAGATTTTAAGAGCCAAGCTAAGGACATTACCATTGTTCTACCGAGATACCCAATAAGGATTTGAACCTACTTGGTTAAGGTGTTGATGAGTTATGATCAGATAAAAAACGACGTACAAATAAAGATTACTACTTTATAGACGAAGATGTTACCAAAATCTGTATAGTATCCATTTCCATAATATGTATAAACTCGACCACCAATTCGATTGCTAGCTTCCAGAACCGTCACCTTCAAATGATAAAGACAGTGAAGAGAATTGTTTATGTTGCTCTTGCCGTAACAACCTTTACCATAATGGTCACATTTTTCATAAAGGTAACAATATTATCCTGAGCACTGAGAATCACCTTTTGTTTTCTGTTTGTTTGTTACGAAGTGTACTATTTGTTTTTAGTTTGTTTGTTACCAAGTGTACTATTTGTTTTTAGTTTGTTTGTTACCAAGTGTACTATTTGTTTTTAGTTTGTTTGTTACCAAGTGTACTATTTGTTTTCTGTTCGTTTGTTACCAAGTGTACTATTTGTTTTTAATTTGTTTGTTACCAAGTGTACTATTTGTTTTTAGTTTGTTTGTTACCTAGTTTACTATTTGTTTTTAATTTGTTGGTTACCAAGTGTACTATTTGTTTTTTAGTTTGTTTGTTACCAAGTGTACTATTTGTTTTCTGTTCGTTTGTTACCAAGTGTACTATTTGCTTTTAGTTTGTTTGTTACAGTGTACTATTTGTTTTTAGTTTGTTTGTTACCAAGTGTACTATCTGTTTTTAGTTTGTTTGTTACCAAGTGTACTATTTGTTTTTAGTTTGTTTGTTACCAAGTGTACTGTTTGTTTTTAGTTTGTTTGTTACCAAGTGTACTAGTTGTTTTGTTTGTTTTGTTTGTTACTGGGTGTTCTATTTGTTTCTGTTTGTTTTCTGTCCTATTTGTGATATAGGCCGTCCTACTTGTTTCTGTTTGTTTGTTACTTTGTGTCCTATTTGTTACCTTGTGTCCTATTTCTAGAAGAAGGTATGCGGACAGAAGGCCGGACAGTCCTGCCCCAACAACAACAAATTCAAGTTTTTTCCCAGATGTTTCAGCTTTAGGACCCTTCAGAAATTTCCTGCAAATCAAAAATCCAAACAACTAAAACAACTAAAATAATTACATAAACGCCGGAACGCACTTGTACAGGGTTACCCTTAAAGAATGAAAAAATATCTACAAAATTAAGAAGATTATTTTCTACTACCTTGGCTCTTCTAATACTTCCACCATATGAGGAACAAACCTATCCTTTCTTTCTAAATATTTATATTTAACATTGGTCCAACTAATTATATTTTTACAGTGGTCGAAACTTTTTTGAAAATTGCAATTTTTCAATGCCTTAACTTTGATAACTCAAAAGTTTCAGCCTCCTATTACATATTGCCCCCTTTATAAGAAGTTAGATAAATTTTGATCATAAAGAAACTGAATTCTGCCACAAATTCAAATTATCTACGGTGGTCGGTGGATGGCGATTATATCAATATAATGAAGACGGCTGTCTATTTCAATTTTGATTTATTTAAAGCTTTTAAACAGCATGGATGCACAAAAATATGAAAGCAAAGAGAAGCTGTAAATTTAAAAAGCTTCTCTTTATTTACTCGAAAAAAGCATGTTAACAATTAAAACTTAAATAAAAAATACGTCTTAATTGTTTTGATATAATTGCCTGCCACCGTGGTGCCTTGCAACCCCTGGTTTACACCCCTTTCATATTTAAACTTGAATTATTCTATAATTACAATTATTATAAACATCAGAGTTTGTGGCTAGCACATATTATACCTAGTTTGCAAGGTGTCTTTATTAATTTCCTACATGATGGTTCTGCTCCTGAACAAACAAATATAAACTATTACAGTCAATCAAATAATAATTCATTTTACCATTTTTTGGGGATTTTGTTTTGGTAACTGATAAATATTCCTGGCCAAACACTATGTTTGTAAAAACAAACCATAATGTTAAAACTAAATTGAATATCATTTTTTCTGAAATATTTAGTCTTGCTGATATGAACGAGGGGGTGGTGGCAGATTTGAGTTAAAATTTCAGAGCTTTGAGTTAAGATCTTTTGATTCGAAGATAAAGTACCAGGGTTTGGAGTTAAGACCTGAGGGTTTGGAGTTAAGACCTGAGGGTTTGGAGTTAAGACCTGAGGGTTTGGAGTTAAGACCTGAGGGTTTGGAGTTCAGACCTGAGGGTTTGGAGTTCAGACCTGAGGGTTTGGAGTTCAGACCTGAGGGTTAGGAGTTTAGATTTGATGGTTTTGAGTTAAGATCCCAGGGTAGGAGAACAGATACATGGGTTTTGAATTAAAGATCTCAGGTTTTGAAGTAAAGATCTTAGGTTTTGAAGTAAAGATTCAGGTTTTGAAGTAAAGATCAAAGGGTGTGGAGTAAAGATCCCCGTGATTAAAATCAATATTACAGGATTTGGAGTAAAATTCCCAGATCATACGCTGGAAACAAACATAAACACATTTTATTAATAGTTTTCAAGTAATTTTCATTCATAAACATTTTAGACTTTCACTGGAGTATAAGTATTGCTTTCTATCACAGATTTTCTTCTTTAGATTCACAGTTATGCTTTAACTGACTAATTTATATTTAATGCTTGGATATATTGTTTCAATACTTTGACAATTGTGAAATAATTCAGTACTTTATTTAATACATGAATGGAGTTTAAAAATAACCGAATATACATGGATCTCATTTCATTTCATCTCATCTCATCTCTATGGACTTCGAAAAAATGCATTAGAGATTAGAGATTAGGGTTTTTTTTTAAATAAATATTTCTACATTGGTAAAAAACTCTAGAATAATACTGTTAAAGTAAGTTTTTTCTAAATAAATATCAAAGCATAAACGTTTCAACTGAATATAAAACTATTTTTGTATACTTTAGTCATTCTTTGGAAGAATAAATTGTGAGACTCGTCTGTGATATGAGCGGCAATAATTTGAATGAAAAAACATGATACTTATTGAGCTAAAAACACAGCCACTCATTTATTTTGGATCATTTTTCTATTATTTCTAGGTGATTTTTCCGTGTGTCCGTAAATCCCCGAAATCAATTCAAATTCTTTAAAAGGTTTACACAATAAATATTGAGATCAACCAAAGGTTTTAACCTCTGAATTCAATTTATTCAAATGATTTTTCGACTCACTTTTCAAAATTCATAAAACTATTTATTGAAATTGTCACTTTTTAACATAGACAACTGTAAAAAAAAATTAGATTTAAAGCCTTAATATTCACTATCTTCTTATCTATCTCTGTTCCCCCTAGCTACTATATATGACCTATGACACCGGCTAAATACATCAATGAATCACATTAATTCAACACTCGTAATGAATTCATTTTTTGCTAGACATTCCTTGCTGCATTCAAGTCTTTCTTATCATAAAACTTCTGTAAGAAACAACAATTCTTGTCTCATGTTTATTTTGTATAAACTTTTTAACCAACTTTTCAAATATTTATAAAAGCGTAGAGTAGAGTTAACCTGTGTTTATTTATGCGCCTGTTTTCACGACCTACAGGAGTAATCCTATTTCAGGTTCTTGCTTTCATTTTTAACTAGCAAACTTATTCTAGCAACATAAGATTAGTCCTATTGTGGTATCCATTCGTTCATTATTTGTAAAATTCACTTGCCATTGTTTAATTAATTTTCCATTGTACAATTTATTTTCATTGTACAATTTATTTTCATTGTACAATTTATTTTTCATTGTTCAATTTATTTTCCATTGTACAATTTATTTTCCATTGTACAATTTATTTTCTATTGTACAATTTATTTTCAATTGTACAATTTATTTTCTATTGTATAATTTATTTTTCATTGTACAATTTATTTTTCATTATACAAATTATTTTCCATTGTACAAATATTCATTCATTCATATTGATTGCAATTCTTTTTTTACTGTTTAATTAATTTTTAATTCAATTGTACGATGCATCATACCATTAAAAATACACTCTTTCATTAAACATACAAAGCATTCCATGAAATTCACAATTCTTTTTCTGTTCATTATAAAATTCATTTTTCCATTATAAAGTTTCATCTCTCAATCTTCTTGCATTTAAAAATAAAAATTTCAAGTAGACAATCTGTACTTTTATCCTTTAGTTCATAATACAGATTATTTTTCTGTAATAATAAGATGCAATAATCTTAATTAAGAATACTTTTACATTGTACTGCATAATATAAACAGCCTAGAGGTATTTACAACTGCCTTCAGATATATGTATTCACAAAAAGCATATTTTGGGGAAAAAAGGGAGAAATATTGAGGGGGATTATCTACCGAAAAAAAATTGATTTTTAAGGGGAATTTTTATAACTTGAATAACAAGGATCCCCCCCTTTTTTAATTATAATCTTATCCTACTACAGTTTCTAAAAATTACCATAAATATTCGCTGTGTTACAACTTTTTTTTGAGAAATTTTCAAAAATTTTCAAACAACTTTTTTAATAAAAAAACAACCGACAAGACAAACATGTACACAGGGGGAAAGTAAAATTGTGCACATCTTCCGTACAGAACCTTTATGAAACCATGGTGTTGGAATTAAGGTTTATGAATGGATTAATGCCATTCTGTAGATACTAGATATCATTTATTTTGTCAGACAATATCAAAGATTTGAACGGTTAAAGGGACAAATTCAGCTTTTATTACAAAATCTGGTTTTCTAACCCAATGTTGAAGACCTTAGTTATTTCAAACTATGAATTCCGTTAGATCAAATAATCTATCTTTGAAATATTAGATTTTAAATCATCAGGTTTCAAAGATATAGGGATTAGAAAATTTGAGTTAGTGGCAAAGACTCAATTCCTTTATCTAATTTTTGTCTTTCTTAAACTTTAATAAAAATCATAAAACAAAAGATAAAGATGTATATATATATATATATATATATATATATATACATATATATAATCCTTTAAACATATGTTGAAATTCAGATTTCCAATTAAAAGTCTAAAACACGATACAATGTCTAAATATTGTTAACAAGAAGGAAAGCCGTAAAAATATGTTTGGAAAAATTAAAATCAGAAAAATCAGATTGTTATTGCCAATCATCAAGGTTTTTTCTTTTCAGGAGAACATTGCGAACATTTCAGGCCAAGAATGCCCATAATGTGAATATTTAAAAAGTATACACACATTTCTATATTAACTAATTTATTTAGAATAGATACTTGTATCACCCTCAACTAAACTTTAGGTCTGTTCTACAGTGACCGAAGAAATAGTTGGTTTCAGTGGAGAGTGTTATCTATATAGACAGGGGTTAAAGCAAAGTGATGGATGATGGCGTAGTGCTCGGAAATATTGGTCAATCTTCTTATCTGAAGATCTAAACCATCTTTCAATTCTCTCCTCCAATCCTTCAGTACTATCCTTCTCTTCTTTAATCCTTCACATCTTCAATCCTTCAATCCTTCATATCCAGCTCATATATCTGCTATCCTTAATTTTTATAGTCTTACATTTCTTCAATCCTTTATATGTATAATCCTACATATTATAAACAACAACAGTTCGAGGTGATGTACTTTTTAACCGTCAATGTAAGAATGCACAAGACTGTATTCTGTATTTACATATATTCCGTAGGTTGTTCATTTATGCAAAATACAAAATATGAATTAAATTATGGTTGTCCACCACACACGGCCTAGTCCAGCAGAATGAATGGTTTTGGGTATATGGTAGCTGTCCTGTTTCTAAATCAATATTTAGGGGAGTATTGGGGGAGGGGGGGAGGGTCCTTTATAGACTTGTTATAGTTAGTTCTTAGATGTAAATCATCTGAATCTTGGCGAAAACTCGTCTTTCTCTTGAGTTTTGCTTTACCTCGGGCTCCCGTCACCAATTTGAACTGCAAAACATTCCTAGTATTACACTTTAGAATACTTGAAGAAATTAATTACTATCCTTAAACCAGGCATTACGTTGCAATGTTATAGGGGTTAGAAAGTTAGAGTTTGAGGTGATTAATAATTATTTTCATCTTGAACCCCATAAACTGTGGATTAAATCATTAGTATTCATTAAAATCTTTCATACGTTCATTTTTATCCATTATTAGAACTCAAGACTGTCAAAATCTATATCATAATATCTAAGAATCATGTTTAAGGCATATATGCTTATAATTTACTTTCGCCCCCCCCCCTGCCTCATCCTCAAAATTACATTCCTATACTTTGATGTATGATACCGCGTATAATATATTCGTGACAAAACTGCCCAAAAATCCACCAAATCTCCTTTGGTCACTGAATTAAGATATCGATGAACAAAATTCAGAGCTAGGAGTTCAGAAATCATAAACGCGACTCAAGATTTAATGACAAGATTAAGAAGTATAATTTTCTCAAGAGACCTTTTTCATTTTTCTTGTAGTAGTGTCCATTTTTGAAATACAATTTGCTATTTTATATCATGTTTCATATATACATATAAAGACTATGGTTGTCTATGGTAGGTTGGCTGTCACGATCTCAATCCAATGTTTAAACTTTAAAAGAGGAGGGTTCTGTATCTAACTTTACAGGAGTAGGGTTCTGTATCCAACTTTATAGGAGGAGGGTTCTGTATCCAACTTTATAGGAGGAGGGTTCTATATTCACCTTTACAGGAATATGGTTGGTTCTATATTCAACTTTACAGGAGGAGGGGTCTGTAGTATCCAACTTTATAGGAGTAGGGTTCTATATTCACCTTTACAGGAATATGGTTCTATATTCACCTTTACAGGAGTAGGGTTCTGTATCCAACTTTATAGGAGGAGGGGTCTGTATCCAACTTTATAGGAGTAGGGTTCTATATTCACCTTTACAGGAATATGGTTCTATATTCACCTTTACAGGAGTAGGGTTCTGTATCCAACTTTATAGGAGGAGGGGTCTGTATCCAACTTTATAGGAGTAGGGTTCTATATTCACCTTTACAGGAATATGGTTCTATATTCAACTTTACAGGAGGAGGGGTCTGTATCCAATTTTACAGGAAGCGGGTTCTGTATCCAACTTTAAAGGAGTAGGGTTCTGTATTCACCTTTACAGGAATATGGTTCTATATTCAACTTTACAGCAGGAGGTGTCTGTATCCAACTTTACAGGAAGCGGGTTCTATATTTAACTTTACAGGAGCAGGGTTCTGTATCCAACTTTACAGGAAGCGGGTTCTATATTCACCTTTACAGGAGTATGGTTCTATATTCAACTTTACAGGAGGAGAGTTCTGTATCCAACTTTACAAAAGGAGGAGTCTGTATTCAACTTTACAGCAGCAGGGGTCTGATTCCAACTTTACAGGAGGAGGGTTCTGTATCCAACTTTACAGGAGGAGGGTTCTGTATTCACCTTTGCAGGAAGCGGGTTCTATATTCACCTTTACAGGAGTAGGGTTCTGTATCCAACTTTACAGGAGGAGGGGTCTGTATCCAACTTTACAGAAGGAGGGTTCTATATTTAACTTTACAGGAGAAGGGTTCTGGATCCAACTTTACAGGAGAAGGGTTCTTTCTGTATCCAACTTCAAAGGAGGAGGGGTCTGTATTTTCCTTTACAGGAGCAGGGTTCTGTATCCAATTTTACAGGAGGAGGGTTCTGTATCCAACTTTACAGGGGGAATGTTCTGTAAAACTTTCCAGAAGGAGGGTTCTGTATCTGACTATACAGGGGGAGGGTTCTGCATTCAACTTTACAGAAGGAGTGTTCAATTCTCTGCAAATAACTTTGCGTTTTTGAGTAATCTTATAGTCAAAAATATATTATATAATATATATAATATATATGTATATAGAACAAAATAATGTAATATTAATATTTATATTTATGTAGCAGACACCCCTTCTGTTCACTTATTAAATTATGCTAAGGAATGGAAACCTATAGAATCAATATGTGTTTACTACACAATAAACAATTAAACATAGACTAAGGCATGCAAAACACCTGCATTGCAAAAACACAGATACATGAGGGCATACAAAAAAGGAACATTTGCAAATTTGAAATGAAATAACAAAATTAAGAGAGGAAAATAAGTAGACTAAGGATTAAAAAATTTGTCAGAAAGACATTTTTCAGCAATGTCATCATCTTCTTCAACAATATCATCATCTTCTTAAACAATATCATCATCTTCTTCAACAATATCATCATCCTCTTTAATAATATCATCATCTTCTTCAACAATATCATTATCTTCTTCTTCATTCTTATTATCCTCTTCAATAATATCATCATCTTCTTCAACAATATCCTCATATTCTTCATCCTTATCATCATCTTCTTCAACAATAGCATCATCTTCTTCATCCTTATCATCATCTTCTTCAACAATAGCGTTATCTTCTTCATCCTTATCATCAGCTTCTTCAACAATAGCATCATCTTCTTCATCCTTATCATCAGCTTCTTCAACAAAATCATCATCTTCTTCGAGGATATCATCATCTTCTTCAACAATATCATCATATTCTTCATCTTTATCATCATCTTCTTCCTCATCCTTATCATCATCCTCTTCAACAATATCATCATCTTCTTCATCCTTATCATCATCTTCTTCTTCAACAATATCCTCATATTCTTCATCCTTATCATCATCTTCTTCAACAATAGCATCATCTTCTTCATCCTTATCATCAGTTTCTTCAACAATATCATCATCCTCTTCGAGGATATCATCATCTTCTTCAACAATATCATCATCTTCTTCATCTTTATCATCATCTTCTTCCTCATCCTTATCATCATCCTCTTCAACAATATCATCATCTTCTTCATCCTTATCATCATCTTCTTCTTCATCCTTATCATCATCCTCTTCCACAATATCATCATCTTCTTCATTCTTATCATCATCTTCTTCTTCATCCTTATCATCATCCTCTTCAAAAACAACTTTACTCCCAGAGACATTTTTTTCTTGGGATTTAAGAAACTTCTGCTGTCTGTAAGTTCCTATCTATGTATGTATGTATCTGTATGTTTTCTGCTTGTATTGTCCTATTTTTCTGTAGATCGTGTATTGAACTAATTACTAAGCAAAGGGTGTATACTCTACATATACAATACAACTGTATACTACAGGTTAATCCTACAGTTGAACTCGTCTCAGGTTTACACAATTTCTTTTAATAATTAACCTGGAGTGGGAAATAGAAACCTCATTAGGAAATGTCACCTTTACATCCCGACCACAATCTATACTTTGAACCACATAGACCAACCAATATTTATACTTTGAACCATGTAGACCAACCAATATATATACTTGGAACCACAAATACCAACCAATATCTATACTTTTAACCACATAAACCAACCAATATCTATACTTTGAACCACATAGATCAACCAATATCTATACCTTGAACCACATAAACCAACCAATATCTATACTTTGAACCACATATACCTACCACAATCTATACATGGAACCACATATACCTACCACAATCTATACATGGAACCACATAAACCAACCACATTCTATACTTGAAACTACATATACCAACCATAATCTATACTTTAAACCAAATATACCAATCACAATCTATGCTTGAAACCACATAAACCAACCAATACCTACACTTTGAACCACATAAACCAACCACATTCTATACTTGAAACTACATATACCAACCATAATCTATACTTTGAACCACATATACAAATCAAAATCTATACTTAAAACTATATAAACCAACCATAATCTATACTAGGAACCACATATACCAACCACAATATATACTTTGTGACACACATACCAACTACAATCTATACTTAAAATCACATAAACCAACCACAATCTAGACTTTGTGACACACATACCAACTACAATCTATAGTTAAAACCACATAAACCAACCACAATTTATACTTGGAACCACATATATCAACCACAATCTATACTTGGAACCACATATATCAACCACAATTTATACTTTGAACCATAAATACCAATCAAAATCTTTAAATGGAACCACAAAGACTAACCCCAATCTTTACATGGAACCACATAGATCAACCACAATGAATTCTTGGAACCACATATACCAACCACAATAACATTCCTCTGAACATATATATAATAAATTAACGTCTCCTGTAGTGATGAGAACCCTAAGGGACTGTTCCCTTCAAATTCATGATTAATTACCATTTATAAACAATACAAATATATTCTGCATGCCTATCATAAGTTCTTCTCAACGTAACTTGAATTTTCTCCAGTTTAAGATGCTTTCTCGGAAAAGTTTTTAAGCGGAATTTTACCCCTGAATTTCCCATGGTGTAAGGAATCTATTTCTAATATTTAAAATTGATCATTTGATTTAAACTAAATTTAATTTTGACACAATTCACTTGATAGTGAAATTTGAGATTATATGTTTTATTCTAAATAGTATCAAAATAATTTGAAATTAGTTATGACTGATTCTTTATCTTTAAAATATTTATTTTAATTTCAATATTAATTTCCAAGAGATATGTAACAAAAGCAGATTTTATAATAAGCCCCAAAAATATGGAGATTTAAAAGGAAAAAGTTTTGTTATTTTCATATTATATTTAAGCAACGGTTTATTTTGATCGTTTTCCACAGCACATTGAGTAGCAGCAGCAGAGGGTAGAGAGTACAATTATGATGAGTACTCCAAGTACAGCTGGTCCAGTCCAGTACTCTAGGACACACTAGGATATTATGATTAGAGGACATACAGTACAGCTGGTCCAGTCCAGTACTCTAGGACACACTAGGATATTATGATTAGAGGACATACAGTACAGTTGGTCCAGTCCAGTACTCTAGGACACACTAGGATATTATGATTAGAGGACATACAGTACGATTTTATTTTTTTTTCTTCCATCTTAAGACCAATTTAATTAAAAACCATCTTTGGTTAGGCGGGTCAGCCCAAACTAAATATTTGTAAATATTCACCTTACGTATAATCTCATCTGTGTCATTACAGCACATTAGAGCAGTACACTGTAAACAAATTAAAATAAAAATGTAAATGTTTAGTGTTAAGCTGGTTTTGTTTATTCACTGTTTACCTCTAGTTTAGGCCCGCAGTAAGGTAGCATGGACGGGATCTAATCAAACCATTAATATTTTTTTCTTTTAATTTCTATTTTCTGAGAAATAGTCAGTTTATATTAATATCAATGTGAGTGTAAAGAAGTTTAGATGGATAGGGATTGTGTACACACATTGTACTATTAGGATAACTAGAAACTAGTTGCATCAGAAATATTTAACAAACATTAACAACAAAGGTTGCGATTTTCCAAGGCAGGATGGAAGATTGAGCTATTTTAATAACTATTCATCTTAAACCAGTTCCTAATCGGTCCTGAAATGAGACAGAAAAATGTGCGCACATCCTATCCCCCACCTTTCACTTTGATCAAAATAAACCTCACAACACGTGTCTATATGTACAGACTCAGGGGCGTATACAGGGATTTGTCAAGGGCCGTGGGGGTCATGGAATCATTTCCTCGAGGGGGGAGGGTCAACCCTTTAGCTACCGTCACCTGAATAAGCTCCTGTTAGGCTTTTTTTTTTAATGAAATTCTTACCAAGTCCTGAACCCAGGTTGAAATATCTTGGAAGATTTTTGTAATCCCTTCTTTTGGTTCCTGAGTAAAGGTTTTATTAAAAAAATCCAATTAAATCAAATACATTAACGAACTAGATTTTACGTCATAGATTTCACAGATAGAACAAGATATTACACTTGTTGGACAAGAGATTACACAGCTAGATATATGGACAAGAGATTGCACGGATAGAACAAGATATTACACTGATTGGACAAGAGATTACACAGCTTAGATACATGGACAATAGATTACACAACTTAGATACATGGACAAGCGATTTCACAGCTAGATAGATATATGGACAAGAGATTACACGGATAGAACAAGATATTACACTTATTGGACAAGAGATTACACAGCTTAGATACATGGACAAGAGATTACACAGCTAAATATATGGACAAAGATCATACAGCTAGATATATGGACAAGAGATTAAATTGATAGGACAAGATAATAAACAAATTGGACAAGAGATTACAAAGCTAGATATATGGACAAGAGATTAAATTGATAGGACAAGATATTACACTAATAGGACAAGAGATTACACGTTAGGATAAGACATTACACGGATAGGAAAAGAGATTACACGGATAGGACAATATATTACACAGTTAGGATAAGCGATCACTCAATAAGACAATAGATTGCACAGTTAGGACAGGAAATTACTTACAGTGATAGGAGAATAGATTACGCGGATAGGAAAAGAGATTGTACAGATAAGGCAAGAGGTTACACGAATAGGACAGGATATTTACACAGATAGGACAATATATTAAACAGATATAGGACACTAGATCACACAGATAGGAAAAGAGATTACATACACAGATAGGACAAGAGATTACACACACAGATAGGACAAGATATTTACACAAGTAGAACTGGACAAGTAGTTTTTCTAGTATAATCTAATTTTAGATGAGGACCCTCCAACCACCAAGAATATAGTCCCCCCCCCCTCCACCCACTCAATAGTATTATGTACAAAAGATCACAAACAAAATTACGGCATTTTTTGTTCTATCTTTAAACAACATGAATATTGAATAGGTACAAATTGTACCTGGGAGCATGTTTCTCCACCTTGTACAAGAATTGGAATTTGGAAACAGCTGATGTACATGAAAACATGTACACACATGTGTACTGCTCGGTTTATGAGTGATAACATTTTCAGCAACAAAAAATCTAAATTAAATTTAATCAATTATCTCGATTTTTGGGATCATGGAGTTTATAGTTCACAGTTTAAAGTTTACAGTCTACAGTCTACAGTCTACAGTCTACAGTCTACAGTCTACGGTCTACAGTCCGCAGTCTGCAGTCTACAGTCTACAGTCTACAGTCTACAGTCTACAATCTAAAGTCAACAGTCTACAGTCTACAGTCTGCAGTCTACTGTCTACAGTCTACTGTCTACAGTCTACAGTCTACAGTCTACAGTCAACAGTCTACAGTTTACAGTCTACGGCTTACAGTCTACAGTCTACAGTCCACAGTCTACATTCTTCAGTCTACAGTCCACAGTCTACAGTCTACAGTCTACATTCTACAGTCTTCAGTCTGCAGTCTACAGTCTACAGTCTACAGTCTACCTTTAGACCGCCGATAGAATGAGTTTTATGATTTTTAACTATCAATAATGTGATAGTTCTGCTGTTGATATTCTGTACAATTTGTCCAATCTAAGTATAAGTTCAGATATCTGTGATAAGTTTAAACGGAAGCTAGAAGTATTGATAAGGAAACTGAAAAAATAAATTATTCAACAAATATAATATTTTTTAACTCTTTCATTTCAGTTTTCTGCTCGCGTTGTAATTACTATGAAAAGCTGAGTGATAAAACAGTCTGACCCGTACTTTTATGCATTCCTTTCCACACCACCATTCAGACATTTATAGTATTTCATACGCAAAACATTATTCTTAATGGAAGGTGTCAAAAAAAAGTTAGATGGGAGCAAAGGTGGGATAATTCTCGTGAGGAAAAGTTTATGCGAGGGTTAAAGTTTTTAATTGTTAGACGCTCTGAAATGGCGAGTTATATTCCAGCAATAACAGTTTCTACAAATATGGGTATACAGGATTATCCACAAAGGATGAGACATAAGAGACGACTGTACGGAATTTGTTTAGTCCCTTGCCTTACATTCAGGTGTCATAGCAGGCCAAAACTTACAGTTAGGTGTCATAGCAGGCCAAACCTTACAGTCAAGTGCCATAGCAGGCCAAACCTTACAGTTAGGTGTCATAGCAGGCCAAAACTTACAGTCAGGTGTCATAGCAGGCCAAACCTTACAGTTAGGTGTCATAGCAGGCCAAACCTTACAGTTAGGTGTCATAGCAGGCCAAACCTTACAGTCAGGTGTCATAGCAGGCCAAAACTAGCTTAATTTTGTGCTTTATTATCTAGTAAACCATTAGACTAAATTGAAGGAAGAAACTAAAAATCAAGCTTCAAATTGTGATATTTTGGGTAGTCTTTACAGTTTCATCTTTACAGTCTCATCTTTACAGTCTCATCTTTTGTGACCCTAAAATGGTCTAGTGAATTTTGCTGCTAGAAATAAGTAAATAATTGGGTCAAAAAAACGTATACATTCACTTGTACATGTATCTCTAATTATGTCTGTACACGTGTCTCTAAATGTGTATTTAAATGTGTCTGTACAGAACATTTGTTTGTACACCTCTAAATGTGTTTGTACTTGTATCTCTAAACGTGCTTGTACATGTGTCTCTTTACATGTCTACACATGTATCTTTAAAGGTGTTTGAAAATGTCTCTGTGCATGTGTCTCTAAAGATGTCTGTGCATGTGTCTCTAAAGGTGTTCTCTAAATGTTCCTGTACTCGTGTCTATAAAAGGTTTCTGTTTGAATGTCCGTGTGTCTGTAAGTTAATCCCGGTATGATGAATGTAAGGAGTTGAAAAGTTAAATCAAAACGATGTGAGTTCAATACCTCAATATGTAAACTTCGAAATGAAAATTATGCAAACCACATTTACAACTTGTTTTCTGTGGTAATTTACTGCTCGATGTTACATATCAATATACATTAAACGAGGATAAAATGTGCCTAATATTATATAAAATCCGAAATCAACAATATAAATTAGTTAGCTACGCCTGGGGACATTTTCAGCATCTCATTGTTCTACAATATAAATAATACATTATAGATTTATACATTATACGTTATACATTATACATTTATACATTTATGCACGTTTGTTGTGTTTATTAATCTGCTCTGGAGGTACGAAAAGAAAAAACTCCTGTTCATTTGAAGTATCGGACTTACTTTCCGGCAGCTAGAGCAATTTGCACAGTACGCTAACTATAGGCGGCAAAACGAGACAGTTCGCCTAATGAAATAACTACTTCTAATGGATTTGATGTGATTTAGTACCCTTTGATATCGTATACTAGGACGGATCCATCGTAGATTAGGATAAATTAACCTCCACGTTTAAGAAACGTTAAAAAAAAATTCATGTAAATTTTGCCAAGGTGTATATTCTTTTAATGATATAATTAACATGTGAAGATTGTTACCAACTCGATCTGTATTTCCTTGTAAGAATGATTGTACTGAATGTAAGGAATAAGATTTTGTAAACATTTTTGTGAGAAAGGAGTTCAAAAATCTCATTTCCATTTACATAGTTTTGTGAAACTAGGAAATGCTATGACCAAATATGTGAGAGAACAGTACTGTCCTCCATACATTACATGGGCCTAGGCAAGAAACTACAATATTCACTACACAATCATACTTTTCCAGAGATCGGAAACACAAATGTTGTGAATCTTGGGATATCAATCATTGATCTTCATCTTTTGCCGATCTACGGATTAACATAATCCCTGTTTATATCTCGTGGTAATCCTTCCTTGAAGGGGATCAAGAATTGATCCTCAAAACAATGAAAAAAGGTGATTTCAATCAAGAAAAAAATGTAAATTGGTTGGAGAAGAAATCTAAGAAATTATCAGTTTCAGCTGTTATGAAAGAAAGGAACATTCTATAATTTAGTATTTTAAATTTAACGAAAAGACGAATTAAAAATAAATAACTTTGTTTTAAAAAACGTTTCTTTACAATTTTTTGTTTGTTTTTCTACGTCGTTAACGAAACAATCAGTTCGTTTTTTTTCAGAAAAGTGAAACCGATAATGCATCCCTACGGCCATATTGGATATCGAAATCAGAATCGAGATCGAGATTAGAAAGTTTAAATGTGAAAAAGCAAAATTTTTTTTTATTTTTCATTGGCTTGGCATTATCATTTTTTTGACTGACAACGACTTCGGTTTTAATGGGTTAACACTATTTCCTGCTTATCTTCCTGTCCATTTCCTGCTTATCTTCCTGACCATTTCCTGCTTATTGTCCATTTCCTGCTTATCTTTCTGACCATTTCCTGCTTATCTTCCTGGTCATCTCCTGCTTGTCATCCTGACTATTTCCTGCTTATCTTCCTAACCATTTCCTGCTTGTATTCCTGTCCATCAGTCTTCTATCCTGCCTGTGTTCCTGCTGATATGAGTTGTTATCTAGATAAAATGTATAATTGAATGTGACCTCGACGTAGAATCGTCGATTTATATAGAGTATATAAATATTTTACCATCTTTACCAGTGTTGTATATATTCGTTTTTACAAAAAATCCTTTTTAAAAACTGTAACAGCATGCATTTTTATATATAATGATGGAGTTACTCCTATCCGGTTTAATCCAGTTGTTGAAAAAAAAACGAGTTAAAGTGAAGATGAGTTTCCCCTGGTTTGATAATTCTCTGGTCATGAGTTGATCATAACGTTACTCAGCGGTTATAAATATATATGTGCACACCAGCTTACATATCTCATAGATAGATAGATACATGATAGACCTGATCAATAGATAGATAGATAGATAGATAGATATATAACTAGCTTGGGAACCCAGCGTTGCACAGGGTACTCATAGTTACTCCCGCCGTTTACCCGCACTTATACGATTTTTACCGCGAAACTAACTTTTCGCCATAAAAGTCAACCCACTCAACTTAGAATCTCAAAACAAAACTAAGAACATTTCCGTGGTTCTCCCGAGGTCCCCAATCAAAATTTGGGGCAAATCTGTCCAGAGGTTCCTGAGTTATGATCAGACAAACCTGGAGAATACAACTTTATAAATAATAGATTGGATATGCAGAGAGATAGATTCCTATACATAGATAAATTTATGCATTGAGCAGAGTGTCTGAATATAGGTGTACTAGCCTTAGAGGGCGCTTCGCGCCCATCTTCTGAATTAATTGTGAACATGTTCTCTTTGTGTACATCGTAAAACAAAACAAAAATAATTCGCGGATTTTCACAAAAAATTTCATGGATTTTCAAAATTTTCAAAAATTTAATGAAGATCGAATTTTGATGGAGACAAATATTTGAAATTTCGATCATTCATAAACCTTCCCTGGGGCTCCGTGAGGTCCCACAAAAAATTTGGGCCCGATCGGTTCAGCCGTTTTGACTTTTATTGGATACAAACAAACAAACAGACAAACAGACAGACAGACAGACAAGCCAAATTTATGTATAGATCAATAGATGAATAGATGAATAGGTGAATAGATGAAGGGATGAATAGATGAATAGATGAATAGATAAATAGATGATTAGATGAATAGATGAATAGATGAATAGATGAATATATTAATAGTTGAATAGATGAATAGATGAATAGGTGAATAGATGAATAGATGAATGGATAAATAGATGATAGATGGAAAGGATGAATAGGCGAATGGATGAATGGATAAAATGATGAATAGGTGAATAGATGAATGGTTGGATAAATAGAGGAAAGGATGAGAGGATGAATAGATGAATAGATGAATAGATGAAGGACAAGGTGTTTCTTTAATTTGTTTAGATCTTGTATTCAACTGTTTCACGGTACAGAACATAGTAATGGGGCGGGGCTGGGCCGGGGTAATTTAACAAAGAATTTGTATACTTTGATATTTCCAAAAAAAATCGAATTAAATCTGATCCAGAAACCGTTTCGGAAAGCACTAATTTTCAAGGTGTTTTCTTGTTGTATTCAGCTTATACCTAATTTCACACCTTTCCGGTTCTGTTCCGAATAGAACTGAAGAAACCTAGGGTAATGGAACACATGGATGTCAGCTATTTGGACGGGGGGGGGGGGGAATTTGAGCTAAATTGACACTTGATATATTAAATTTCAATAGAGAAAAAAGAAAATTTATGTATTAGCTTGTTGTACATTGATAAGTAGAAATCTCTCATTGTTAGGTTACGAGGTCGCAAAGTCTTGCTAACAATTCATCATTTGATTCAACCTTGTTGACTGTCGACGCAATTTCAAGCAACACTTAATGAAAGCGTTAAATGCCCTATTCGTAATTATACTCTTTAAAACTTAGTATAAGAAAATTGATAGAAATATCCATGTTTTCTACCTCCAGGCTCCAAATTGATAGAAATATTAATGTTTTCTACCTCCAGGCTCCAAACTGATAGAAATATCAATGTTTTCTACCCCCAGGCTCCAAACTGATAGAAAAATCAATGTTTTCTACCTCCAGGCTCCAAATTGATGGTTTGCAATTGTGTTTATCCATAAAGTAAATAGCGAATTTATACAGCAAAAACAACGAAGAAAATTGACAGAAATTAT